TAGATATTGATATTTTTTCATATAAATAAGGTCAATCCGTATGAAGTTTGACTTTAGATCATTCTTATATGCAGAGTAAAAGGACCGGAGGGAGTACTAAGGTTGTCCTAAAACTACGACAGGTAATATGGATCGGAGGGATTACTATTTAGTTTTTTTAAATACACATTGTTTTAAAAATTGTCCATGTAATTTGAAAAAAATGCTGATATAATAAATAAAAAGGTATTCACACAACTTAAAAAAATCATATAATTTGTGAAAGTGTTCATACTTTTTCAAAAATATAATTTCATTCGTTTTACAAAAGTTTTCACATAATTTTAAGAATATCATATAATATTAAGAAGCATTATGTGTTTGAAAAACTGGCCACACGATTTTAAAAAGCATTCATGATTTTTTTAAATGTTCATATATTTTCTAGAAAGTGTTCGTGCAATAAACAGTGTCACTTATTTAGAAACTAGAGGATACCCCGTATGTTGCTGCAGTAATCCATTGCAATATATTTCAAGCGATTCGATTGTGTGTAACATGAATAGTTGAATTAATAATATATGAGTTAAAACTAAACATCCATATTATATATTGTATTTGAGTATTGTGTATTTGAAAATATTTATTGAATGTAAGTGTCATAGTATAACGGAAAGAAAATTCACATGCATGTTAAGGCCAACTCCACCGCGCGATCCCAAATTGTCCGGGTCTATCTGTTTGGGATTAAACGGACATATGAGACGGCCCAACGCACGACCCCATCTGTCAAAAGTGTCCGTTTCTTGTCCGTCTCGCCCCATCCTGAGCGCAAATTTAAGTTGGGTTTGCGGTCGAAGTGGACACTTTGGGCTGCATCCTCGTCCGGCCTCGTCCGCATGCACGTGCCCCCTGGCCCGCCTGTCAATGAAACCAAAGGAGCCCACCCACCCACCCATCCCTTTCTCTTTCCTCCTTTTCTCTGGACCTCCTGCTCGACACGCAGTTCGACGCCCGGCCGGGCGTGGCCGCGTGCAGGCAAGCAGGCGGGGCCGTGCCGTGGGCGAGGCGGCGCAGGCTCGTAGCCGGGGAGGCGGGGCCGCGG